TGTGAACAATTGCCACTGGAAAGCAGGGCAGTATTCAAACATTCTAAAGCAGGAGTGCCCAAATCCCCGCCCCCAGCCAACTGTGGTCCATCGCATCTGGCCAGCAGGGCTCCCCAGCGGTTGGGAAATTTGGTAGCGGGTGAGCAGTGGCCATTAAAATGGCCACCCTCCTCACTGCCAAATTCCCAAATCCCAAGCCGCACACACCCAGTTGGGGCCAGGGCCAGGACAGGCTGCAACCCCATCACCCCTGGGATCAGACCACGCTCCCTCCCCCCGCAGCTGTATTAGGGCCAGACCATAGCCTCGGATTGGGGCCAAGCCACACCCCATTTCCCTGCAGGCTGAGGTTGAGGCTAGGCTACACCAGCATCTCTCTGTGGGGCAGAACCACACCCCCTGCCTCCTCCTGTGGGACCAGGTCAAGCCCCCTTCCCTTGTGGAGCTGAGTTGCCCCCCACCCTTCTCCGCATGCCTGGATGGGGTCCACTGTGCCTGCCCCAGGAGCCCAATAAGGACCAACAGCCAGATCTGGCCCACGAACTGAGCACCACTGTTCTAGAGCACAAAGTGACAGTCAATTTTATAAACTGAAAATTGTTTAGGAATATCCAACTAATTTAGGGTCTGAATCACTTATTTATTTTCAATGGGATATAGGTCCCTTAGTCATTTATGAAAATTTTCCTCATGCATGAAGACTGAACATATATAATTTTTATAAAATAACTGAAAAGTACCTTCCAAGAGTCTTTCATCTCTTAGTGCCTCAGCTGTTAAGACAGACTTCCCAGAACCTGCCATTCCATAAACAGTAACCCAACCTGGATCACCTCTTAAGTTGTATAGTTTCTGTCTAATTTCATTTACCAGTTCTGGACGAGTAACAAACACAACTGGTCTCTGTGGCACTCCACCTTCACAGAGGATTGTCCTCACTGAAATAAAATCATGCATTTAAATAGGAATAGGATTTCTAAACAATTTCCCTACCTCTTTAAAAAACAATACTCCTTAACTATTCAGGAAAACAATGGATAGATAATGAGAGTTGCTAAATTTCAGTTTGTTTCCAGAACAGGTAGAAAGTAGTTACTCAACAGGCACCACCTTTCTCTCCCAAACCGTGTAAAAAATTATTATATTTCTACCATTAGCCAAAGTATTAATCACTATGTGTTCTTCATGATACAGCCTGGGTTCTTCATGATACATTTTCCATTTAAATATCAATAAATGTGTAATAGAGCTGATGTCATATTTGGTCAAATATGATGTGAACCCTTGTTTCACCAGAACTGCTCTGAAACTATACAACAGCTATGGAATACAAACATGGCAGATCAGATGCTTGTATCAGTTTAGTTTATTTACAGTAATTAAAAAGAAAACCCACAAAAACTTTGGTGTATAGAAAAAAATCTAGTAGCCAAGTAAGCTAAATTGCTAATGTTCCCCAAATAGTGAATTAACGTAAAAAAAAAAATGAGGAAGTATCATTGCCAAAAAGAAAGTAAATTTCAGAGCTTGTGATTTCTATCAAGATTCATTTCTCTAAAATACACTAACAGAAAGAATTTTCTTCCATCAAGCACTTAAAAGTGATTAGACTTGGATGACACTGTCCAACATATAAAGCTTTATTTTTTAAAAACAGCATTTTTAAAATCATCTATTACTGGACATGGAAGAGCTAAACAACTTAAAAAACATACCTCCCCCCATTAAATTACATGAAACACAGAAATATTCACTACAGCCACACCAGGTCATATGTGTAAGTGCACCAAGTAGTGCTTTTTTCTCAAAAACAGTTCACACATCTACTCTTTTAATAAAATTTAAACTACAATTACAATCTTCTTCTTCAAAAACAGCAAAGCTGATGGTTTCTACTAACCACAAAAGGCTACTCCATCTGTAGAGTTCTTTCTATCGTAAGAGGTGATACTTGGGATGCCATCATGGAGAAGAGCTGCAAGATCCTTGTACCCTTCATGAAGCAGTGCATTATAGAAAGATATGTATGAGTTGTTATCTTTTTTAAGAATAATGCTTATTAGCATAGCTGCTCGGTCCTGCCGTGTAGCCTACCAAAAACAAAAAGAAAAAAAAAGTGTTTTATAAAATCAGAGATAAAGGAACCTACTAAGTTATCTCGTTTCAATGCCAAAAAGTTAAGGCCTGCACTTTTCATTAACAGGAATGCTTGCTGCAAATGCAATCCAAATAATGGACCAACATCAAAGCTTTACTTGAAGAAGGCATTCAAACACCTTTAAGCACAAAGATCTTCTTATGACTTTAAAGGAACTACTTGCACACGTCAAGCTGTGCGTAAGCTTAAATACTTGCCGAATAAGAGTCTAACATGTTCAAACAGTCCAAAAGGAGTATTCCAAAACAGGTTATGCAGTCTAGAAAGACTAAGATGAGTAAAAAGATGCCCATTTTACCTGTGCTTTAACTTTCTCCTCTTCCTGTAATGTTAGTACTTGATCACTAATCATATGATCCATAATATAAGAGGTTTGGATGTCTCTTTCCAACGCTAACCGGTTTAGAACCAAATGGTTTCGACTCTTCACATTCATTTTGCTTCAGTGTGGAAAAAATATCAGGCCTAAACAGGAACGTGAACTAGATAAGACAGGAAAAAAATACCCAATTTCAAAATATATTTCCTTTTGACATTCCATTAAAGAAATAGAGAAAAAAAATTGTAACGGAACTCTTTCAACATTAACCCCACTAAAATTTGGCTACTTTTCAGTTAGGTTTATTCTGTGAGCCTGGGACACCAGCAACAAGAGCGTCCTGCGCACCTGCCCCATCTCCTGCATCTACGCCAAGCTGATGCACTGCCTTGTGGTGTCTGATACCATGTTGGTCCCATGACATCTATGTTGAGCACAACATGGGCCACTGCTAGTACACCAACCCTGTGAAACCAAATGCCGCTGGACCGGACCCAAAAGGCCTGAACCTCCCCCTTTGCACCAGGTGGATTTCAAGAAAAATCTTTAAGGATGGACCGCTCCACTCCACCCGAAGAAGACCCCCGTGATAAGATTATATAGACTGAGAAGCTATCTCTAACCTACCCCCTCCACCACTGCAGACCATTGTACAGGTTTGTGTGCATCTATCTTCTTTTTTTCTCAGCGTCGCGACCCCCCTCCCTCCCCTTCCCTGACCTCCGGGATTAGTTCTGTATTTTCTGTATCCTAGTTGTGTTTCCCACCGCACCCCCATCCCTCTTATGTTAGTCCCTCACTCAGGTGGCTCTGTATTTCCCTTCTGGCTTTGTCATCTTTTTGGTTCATGAACCTTAGCATCTACTAATAAAATTCAGTTTGTTTTAGCTGTGGGCCATGGAATACATGAAAAATAAGATTTATGAGGTAAAGTAGTATCTTTTATTAGAATAACCACAACCATACAATTGGTGCAATATAAGATCTTATCTCACTTCACAAATCTTGTTTTTTCACACTAAAAACAGTAGAAGTAACCAGTATTTCAGCCTAGTACTTTGTTTTGTGGTATAACCGTTTATTCTTTCTCTGAAATGTTCAGATGCTTGAAACTTACTGTTCAGTTGGGCTGGCAAGCACCACAGCATTAAACAAACATCAGGGAAATCCCCCTCACTCCCCCCACCCCAACTCAAAGGAAAAATATATATAGTTGGATTGCACTTTAAAAGTTCCTAAATACAATGAGTGTGAATTGTTACCAGTCCTCTGAAAGTACTAAGTAAATGCCACAATATTGTGCTCAATTTATTAGAAAGGAAAAAAAAGTCTGGCTGAGTTAATTTGTTTAATGTGATGGCTCCTTTTAAATTTGCAAATAAGGCAAAATTAAAATCTATTTCATGCTTTAATAATCAGGATCAAAATTCAATACACTACCTCTTCTAGGTCAACTAATTTTCCATTTTTTAAATAAAAAATGCACTAACTTGGCAAGATTAAATGTTAACAAGTTAGCCCTTTTTAAGTTTATACCAGAGTCATGTTTTCAAGAACTCTCAAAGCTAAGGAACCGCAGTCCTTGCATACTCTAAATTTCACACATAGTGGATGCATCTACACATGCACTTTACTACAGAGTTGACTAATTAGCTCTAATTAGTCAGGGACAATACTATTTTAGGACGGAATCATTAAATACAATCAAATGCATGTGTAGATGGTGACTGGTGGGTATAAATTGCACCTGGTCAGCACAGGTAGCTGGGGACCAGACTCTGGGCTCCTGCCAACCCCTCTGTTGCCTGATACCACCACCCAGAGCCTAAGGCTGAGTACCCACCAGGCCCTCTGCCAGCCTGGAGCTGCTCCACCCCAGCTCAAACTGATGCAGTCCCAGGTACATGTGTAGACAACATGCGTGTGAGCAGTTGACTCCAGCTCAAATGGCTGCAGAGTTTATTGCTGCACATTAACAGCACATGCACACAGCATAAACTATATATACCAGTCTTGTTTGGTAACCAGGACATTTCCCAATATGCAGGATGGACTAAGGTTACCCTTCAGCCCAGGGGCATCCAATTAATTTGGCCCCATGGACAACCCACTTCTGGAGGCAGTCACTCCACTGCCACAGTTCCAGGACCCAGGAGTGAATGCCACTTGTTCCCTTGCCTGCTCTCCTACTGCCAAATTTAGTTGCCAACAGTGAGTGAAGACTCCCAAATCAGCAATGAGCAATGGCAAAAGGAACCAGCAGTAGCATTCACTCCACTGGATTCTGGTGCTATGCCAACAAGCCTGGTGGGACACAGTTTTACCACTCACAGGCTGCATGTAGCCCTTAGGCTGCTAATTGTAAATCCCTGCTGTAGCATCATTCTCAGTCTTGAAATTGACTTGGTCCTGTCAATTTCCAGTCTGCCATTAAAAGCAAAATGCTCTAAGGCAGGGTTCCCAAACATCTCTAGGGGGGAAACACGACAGAAACCATGGGCAACTGGTTCCACCTTAGCTGCAGGGGGGCACATGCTCCCCCACCAACCAGTCAGCAACCGGGGGGAGGGCAGGGGAGGAGTTTGCGCACAGCCAATCCTGCCCCCCTCAGTCAATCGCGCTGACCAGAGGGGGGTGTCAGAGTGGCTGCAAATGCTTCTGGGAGCACAATGGCACTCAGCTCCCTGGCTGGTGCTTGCAGGGGGGCTCTGGTGCTCCCGCCTGTCCCCCCTGCCCATCACCTAAGTGGCAAGTGCAGCCAGTCAGAGGGTGCACTGGCGCTCTTGTGGGGTGCACATGCATCCCCTACGTGTTGCCACTGGGAGAAATGGTGTAACAGCAGATTTAATTGTCATTATAACTGGCATTTAAGGGGTTAAAATATAAACGTATGCTAGTAGGAGGATGCGGCAGCTGGTAAATCTGGGAGGGGGTATGCAATAAGAAAGTTTGGGAAACTGCTCTAAGGTAAAGCAAAGCCTCTTCATTAAGCCTTAATGAAGTGCAAACAGCTCAGCAAAAGGGACACACTTTGTGTAACCACTTAACAAATATTAATGGGGTGCAAAAAGCTGAGAGCAGGCTGTTTCTGCAGCAATGAGCACTAAATTGTCATAAGCAGCACCTCTAACACTGAAACTGATGGGATTTGGCAAATTACTAGTGTCAACTGCACAATTGAACAGCTGTTTGCATTACCTGCAGGCATTTCATATGGTTTATATTGTGCTACTTATTATAACAGCTTCAAGTACTGCAGTGGAACATGAAGTTTCTAGCTTTTATACATTTTAACCAAATTATTTTCCCCAAAGACGGGGGATCGAGACTAAGTTCCACCATCTTATTTTCTAAAGCCCCATGCTGCCAAAGTGAGTCATTAGAAAGGTTCGTAGTCTTATTCTTGTTCCTGTCATTTACACATGGGCATGTGAATTGTTCCATGGCATCCCAATTATGCACTCAGTGCAGATTATTCATTCCCTTGTCAAGTTTCCTAAGGTAGTATTGTTGTTAGTATTTTGGGGTAATTCAAAGAAGGCCCTGGCCATGGTGAAATTGTGAGATCTAATTCACAGGCAACTGGTTCTGGGAGTGGAATTTACAAACCCAGTTTATGCACCTGCCTTCTCTATACTTGATATAAGATAAATTCAGTGCCTAGGATTTGAGTTCTGGGCCATGTTCCTGGACTGTTTATGCATTTTACATTTAAGAACCATTGATAAAATCCATAAACTGCAATGAGAGCAGGGCCTGAAACCCAAGACTCCATCCCCCTTTT